TCTCTATCAGAAAAATGAACTTTAAATGTTTGCATGTTTCAATTGGTCTTGTATAAAACAATTGTTTGGTGTTTTGTGTATCTCACAATGCCTTAGCGTGAATTTATAAGTGGAACATCCTGAAAACTATGATAAAAATGTAAACAAAATTGTTGTTTCTTCCTTTCCACTGATACATGCCTTTTGGAGTGTGCGTTTTAAAACAGTGAAGAAAATATTATTTAAAAAATAAGATCTTTCAAAGTTTGAAGTTTTCTGGCTGATAATTGGCCATATTGACCAAAATAATGTATTATAAAAGTGGTATATAAAGATGCCGTAATTGATGGATGATTTTCTGAGAAAATTAAAACGTAATTTTTGCCGCGAAACGTACGTTACTGATGCAACAGGAACTGATGAATATCTAAAGAGGTAGACTTGTGTCAAGCAGTTAAAGCTTCCCTCTATTAGAAGGTATGTGTTGAGAAATTGTTATTATTGCTCAAGACTGTGTCCAGATCTGCATTGAAAAGTGGTCGGAAATGTACGTTACCGAAACGAACGTTACCGCAATTTAAAAAATATTCACTACACTTAAAATATGATACCTTAGGTAAGAAAATTTATATGGAGAGAAGAGTTTTGTTACATCAAAGCCTAAATAAATATTGCATTTTGTCACTGTGGATATAATTTAAGGTAAATTCATGATTGATATACGATATCACAATATATATTAGAAAACATTTTATGTGTATAAACATATATCTACTGAAAACATTCTGCTGGATTTTGAGATGTGATAGCATGATTTTTACGCAATGTAAACAAAAGGTAGTAGCGGAAAGTATATTTCTGCTTAAAAGTACCATGAAATGTACGTTACTGTTGGTAACGTACATTTCAAAACTAGTATTAGTAATTTCAATGAAGAGTATCTCCTGAATTCTTAAAAGTTACTTCATGAATATGTTTTTCATCTAATAACAAGTAAGAATAGGATGATTAGATATGAAAACAAATTAAAAATAATTGTATTTGCATCAGTTGCATATCAATTTTATTCAGGTATTTTTTCTATCTACAAAAGTTGGGACTATTACAATATGTAATTGTTTAAGTTGAACAGTTGTGATGATATTGAACATTTTTAATCTTTTCTCTAGCATCTGCACACTCAAATGTGCATTGTGTATGAACTATAAAGGTCCACAAAACAATGATTTCTTACTTACATTAACATCAACAACAAGTAACGTACATTTCAATTGTAGTAACGTACATTTCAGAGACCGAAATTAAGGGCTTAGATTCAAAAAGGCTACAGGTAGAGAACAAGAGCTGGAAGATACCGAAAGTTATCTTTTGAAAGAGCGTTATTTTAGAATTACTTATTACAGAATCCTAAATATTTGACTAACAAAGCGAGAAATGAAAGAAACAATGTTTTATCAAACAATTTACAAAAGCAAACAATGTTTCATATAGGCAATGTTTCGTATAAAGTAAATGATTTTTTTTCCAGAATTTACCATATTGTGTACAGAACACTGGAATATATTGTAAAGCAACAAAATAATCAAGTAAATGCGTCACACTTCTAAAGCATTTATTTTTACATGCATTTCACAAATGTGATTTTGGTAATCATAATGTCTTAAAACATGCAAACTTCTAATGAAAGATATTAACAGGACTTTCGATGAATCATCTTAAAATGTATGTTACTTGCAAAGTTGCACATAAAATTGAACTTGAAGTTTGCGATAGTAAAACATGTTTTTATTTTATTTATTTTTTTACATAAAAATGCAACAAATTTTATCAATTACACCATAATGGGGCTCAAAACATTTCTGGACATTGCTGTTAAATTACCCTCATTAACAATGAATAACGTAGCATACAAGGATGATCAAATTTGCTTTTAGATTATTTTATAAAGTAAAAATGTTTGTTGTTTTAAAAATTTAAAATAGGAAACATTTTGTTTATAATGTTAAATATTAATTGGTGTCTTTTTATGTACAACACCCATGCCAGAAAACTGAAATGTACGTTACCAATGAGAGTTTACAACAGTTTTTAATAAAGTTTTTAAGAAAGTCTTCAAAAATGATAAAGATTGCTATTTTAAAGCATTTTATTACACACGTATGTTGTCATAAAGGGTTAAATATGCACATATAATGTTGTTTACATGTACTTTTTACCTTATATGAACAGAATCATCAATTAAAATACATCTTATTTTGTATGCATATACAATATCTTATTCTGACCAAGCGTTGATGATTTTTGTAGTTAACTGTTCAAATGTTTAGAAAAGGGATAAATACCAAACAGAAATATTTAAGTTTTCCCATTCCTGTCAGATTTTCTTAATGAATTCACTGTTGATATTTTTTTGTATTAAACTGAAATGTACGTTACAATATTATTACATTACTTTTAAGGCATTTGGGGTGAAAAAACAACCGCTACATGCATGAATTAGTTTACAACGAGGAGTTTGAATGTACCATAAATAACAAATAACATTGTAATGTCGAACTGCTTTTCATTGATAAATCTGTAAAGAACTTCGAAGTATGCATTGAAATAGTAAAATATGTATCATTCATCAGTAAAATTTGTAATTGTTTTAACATTTCAAAAACCTGAATATATTGGTATGATTTAACAAAAAATGTGTTTATTTCCATCCTACATCTTTTGAGAAGGGAATTGTGAAAACAAAATTACTGACTAGGTCAACAGTTACATGATTATGAGCTGCTAATTTAAGGGTCACTCAAAGTAACGTACATTTCTGTGCCTGTTTTTATAAGAATGACCTGCTCAATTTAATATGGAACTGAGAGAACATGGTTCGTATCTTGTTTGCAAGAATTCAGATTTATGTCCGGGAGATATTCTTTTTCCATATTCAAACATTATTTTTATGCTCTCTGAACATTATTTTTTTCACATTCCGTGATTCAATATTTGTAAATGGTATTGAGAATGCGTGTTTAAATGTATCGTCGTGATGCTTATAAACTGTCAATCTCCACACAGTGATCTCCCCTTAATTCTTCGGCGTAAATCTCTGCCACCAAGGTCCCAATATATCAGAATTTCTGATCTACTATATTTTTTCAAAAATTGTTTTATTTACTGCTTTTATTTATCACTTAAGTTTTTTCTTATTGATTAAACAATGTTTATGGATAAATAAATAAATAATATGAATATTTAAAAATAATTCTAAAAAATATGAGAATATTTTCTACCGAGACAATATTTTGATATTTTATATTTTATAGCTTTTGAATTTATTTTTCGTTATTTTGTATACTTTTGATAATTTTTTGATGAACTATATCGATCGTAGGCACTAAAAGTTAAAAATAAAACAGAAAGAGAAAAATGACGTTAGATTTTCTATGTAACGGTCGATATTTACATTTGAATTTCGACGTTACGTCATGTGACTTTCATCATCATGTGACGTCTTTGAAGGCAGTGATTACAATTCTGCCAAGGGAGGTAATGGTAGCAAGACACTTCACCCCCCAGACACTTCACCCCTCAAATTTTGAAGACACTTCACCCCTCAAGACACTTCACCCCCCAAAATACCCTAAGACACTTCACCCCTCATCCATTTTTTTATATAAAGTAAATAAGTCAACAACATAATGCCTTGATATGTTTATTTTTATTATTTTTGAGTAAAACATTTAACATGAACAACAATTTACAGCTGAAAAACAATTATATATATTATATCATTGAAACATAACATTGAGAGAACACACACATATAGACACATGTACATGTATATATATATTTATTTACAGTTTCAGTCAGAGGAGACCTTCACAGACATTTTCTATTCTGCAACAGTGTTAAACACTGGATATCCTGTTAGCACCAGAACTTTCAGCACATATTTCCAGTATCTATTACTGGTTCGAAAAACCACAATATTATAGCCGTCCATAGATTTCACCCACTTTCTCTACAATAATCAGTTCAGCTAATTAACAGCTTTGTATTCATGTTTTGCTTTCAGTCCATTAAACAAGACACTGTCAATTAAAAACACAAAGGAAGTGTGAAAAAGATTATATACTTAAAATATATCAAAGGAAAAATCACACAAAAGTTCACACACTTCAATAGAAAGATTATTCATTTAGTTATATCCCTTACACATAAATTGAAATTAGTATTAAATATATAAAAATAAAGAACAAAAATTTACTTACAATCAACTTTGTGATATGAGCCTTTTTTGTAGTGCAAAAACAACAATATAACCATTGTCTTTGGTCAATTACATGATAAAATAATATATAACATTTGTTAAGACAATAAACATACTCAATCACTACTGTATTGAATACATTTGACATTTTTGAACATAAATTATTGTTGAACACAAAATAAAAAAATGGGGGGTGAAGTGTCTTAATCAAATTTCTTAAAATGAGGGGTGAACTGTCTAAGGGGTGAGGTGTCTGCAAAAAAGGGCCTAGGGTGAAGTGTCTGGGGGGTGAAGTGTCTGTAAACCGAGGTAATCACTGTGAGGAGTTTGATAAACTGTATGAACGTTTTTAAATTTGTTATGATCATTGCATTTCCGCTTAGATAAAAATATGACGTAACGCGGCGTCTTAAGCCGCGCCAAACGTTAACGTTAAATTTGGAAACAAAAAATATCAGTAAATAAGAAAACGATATTATGTGAATTAAATAGATGTAAGAAAGAGAAAAATGTAACTATGTAACAAAAATATAATGTAAAATCTTAATAAATTCCAAGAAGAATTTAATAGTACCCATAAGACTATAGATTCTCAATAATAACCGGAAATTATGCTTCAATAACAAAATGTCTAGGAGACTAATGATACAACATTATACTATTGAATGCCGTTAGGGACATGCCAATTTGCTTATTGCTGCAAAATAAAGCAAGAAATAGTACATCCTCGGTCTTTCGGTAAATTTCTTCTTTAGGTTAGAATCAAAATTTAATCTTAATGTTGTAAGCGTTCTTACAATCTCCACATGTATGAAATCGGAATGGCAGACGGGTTCAAAATAAACAGAGCTTATGCAGAAAAGTATAATACATGGAGACAAAAAGAGGAACTACAAAAGTGTAATTTTATCCCTGTTATTTCCTTTGACATAACTCATATTCTTTGATCAGGGTACGAATTAGAGTCACCTGACCAGTGCGAAACGGGTTGTCTAAAACTACGAAAGTGACTTTTTTGACGAAAGTGGCTGTAAAAATATGAACTATAGCGATTTAATAGAATTTTACAATAAATTTGCAGTTTATAGACGTATATTATTAGAAACTAATCATATTTACTATTAAAATAATCGTTATAATGATCTAATCTCTATTTATTTGCATACACAGGTGAACGTCTCGTGGCCATGACATACACGAATCCGGGTCAGCTCGGCCCTAAAACGTACTCGGCCCCCGAGTCAGCTCGGCCCTATTCCAACTCGGCACGGGTCAACTCGGCCCACTTTTCAATTATAAATATTTAGGTTTGTGTTATAAATATTCATTATTTATTGTAATTATGGTAATTATTTATAATACATGGACTGACAGTTTCCGAACTAGCAGCAGAAAGGCTTTTCTTATCAGTAAAATTACAAGTAAAGATAACTGATAGCGTATCTCTCTCTGTATTTATGACTCGTGGTAGGTTTAACTGTAAACTTAAATACCTTCAGTGTCAAAGAATGTGTTGAAATATATACTGAGAGAAAGCTAAGATTAACAGCCTATAATTGATGTAATAAATTTTAAAATCGGACTTTTAATCGCCCCAAACTAGCGATAATAACGTTACTTTACAAACAAAATGCATCTAAGGAAACACATTTATAATAATCTTATCGAATCTGCAAGACAAATAAAAAACATTTTTTTTTCTAAATATACTTTATTTCAGCAGGAGAACAATGTATAATTATATAATAATAAGATATTTCTTGTCATTCATTTACCTTAACAACATGCAAAGCAAAGTTTATACGTTTTATGTATTTTTGTTAAGTGGGCCGATTTGACCCGTGCCGAGTTGACCCGTGCCGAGTTGGTATAGGGCCGAGTTGACTCTTTTCCACATACACTATACCCCCATTCCCCCTCTACACAAAACCCAAACATCATAAGTATTGACAAAAATAAATTTTATGAAAAAAATTTTTTATGACTCTAAAAAAAACACTCTACTGGTCGGGAACCATCAACCGGACACTTTTTGAACATTTTTCCGTACAGATTTCATAATTTTTAACATAGAGACCTAAAAATTTGACACAGTTCAGCTAGGTTCTTCCCCTAACTTACAAACTAGTTTGTTTATTTCTGAATGTATTGACACTTATATCTGAGGCCCGACAAGGAGGGTATCAAAATTACCTAAATTGTCTACACTACAGTACCATGTGTCCGGACAGATATGTACATGACGTGATTTAATTCAGATAAAAGCTTGGGTGTTTTGATTTTTAACATGATATACAATATGTCAGCAACAAATGCTGAAGTTTTGGATATAATTGTTTACTCTGCAAATGATTATAGCTGGTATATGAGGTCAGGCATTGCTTTCCTGGCCCCCAAATTTCAACGTCAACATTCTTGAAATAGACATTAAAATATTACCAGTTATGGAGGTTGAATAAATTTATTTACTTAATTAAAGAAGAAACATGCATTTATTGTTGGTAAAAAAGTGACTGTCATTCACTGAACAAAGAAAATACAAAATTAAGCATTTTCTGGGCCGTCCGGGTTTGATGGTTGTCCGGTTTTGTTGGTCTCCAACCAGTACTTTCATTTTGTATAGAAAAATCACTAGCATCTCGATTTTCAGCTCATGAGGGATGGTCCCCTATCGGTACTGGTTGGGGACCACCAAAACCGGACAACCACCAAATCCGGACAGCCCCGAAAATGCTTAATTTAATATTTTCTTTGTTCAGTGGTTGTCAGTCACTTTTTTATCAACAATAAGTGCATGTTTCTTTTAAAATTAAGTAAATAAATTTATTTCAGCCTCCGTAAATGGTAATATTTTAATGTCTATTTCAAGAATGTTGACGTTGAAATTCGGGGGTCATGAAAGCAATGCCTGACCTCATATACCAGCTATAATCATTTGCAGAGTGAATAATAGAATATCCAAAACTTCAGCATTTGTTGCTGACATATTGAATAGCATGTTACAAATCAAAAATCAAAACAGCCAAGCTTTTATCTGAATTAAATCACATCATGTACATATCTGTCCTGACACATGGTACTGTAGTGTAGACAATGTAGGTAATTTTGATACCCTCCTTGTCGAGCATATGATATAAGTGTCAATACAATCAGAAATAAACAAACTAGTTTGTTAGTTAAGAGAAGAACCTAGCTAAACTGTGTCAAATTTTTTTATCTCTAGGTTAAAAATTATGAAATCTGTACGGAAAAATGTTCCAAAAGTGTCCGGTTGATGGTCTCCGACCAGTACCACTGTCCTTTAGTATTTCCAGCAAATTGTTCAAATAAAAAGAACTTGTATTTACTATTTTATTGAATTGTAATTAGCTGTCGCATCTTGACTTTAAAATACACATGTCATTCATACTCAATGATTTAAATTAGAAACATCTATGGTCATTCAGCCATGTTTTGAATGGGAGCTTAAACGGAGAGCACTATGGTACCGTCGTATGTTAATTGATGGCCCTTTTTGGCTTCAATATTATTTTTTGTAACAGAATATGATGTCACTACAGTTTCAGCAGACAACATTCACTTGTCAGAACATGAAATTATAATTAATAATGAAATTCTTTCAATATTATTGATAATATCCAAAATATACCCCCTATACAGTATAAATAAACACAAGGAATGACACGCCTTTTCCCCACCCCAACATAATTTACGCCAAACAATATAATGTCAGAATTGTTTCCGCTGATTATCTTGAATGGTAATATGATTTCCTCTTATTATCTTGGTTACTATTTATCACAAAGTCTTCATTTTTCACATATTGATTGGTCATAACTAGTAGATGACCCCTATTGAGGAGGGTAGAATCACATTTCAATTTTCTTAAAAAAAGGATTGAATTTTAGATAAACGTTTAAAAAGATGAAAACTTACCCTGCGATTGACCTATCTTTACAGTCACAGCTGGTGTAATGCTTCACATCTGGTGCAGCGGAAATTCACATATAATTTTTACCGATGCTCATTTTTAGATACATATGGGGTTCCACCCCCCATGACTTAGCTAAAAAAGTTCTGTCTTACGCAACTGTTCCCTATCTCAAACGTGATTTTATCTGCTTTTTGTATACATTGCTTGCAATGTATACAGAGTTATAGCTGCATTTCAGAAATCAATACGGTTTCACTGTTTTGCTGAACAACATCCACCTTCGGATGAAACCTCGATAAAAGTAGATCCTCATTTTGCAGGATTGTCACATTAAGATCACTTTTTATTAAAATATTGTTTGCATAGTGGTCAATAAGCTTTGAAAGTTCAAAACTATGCACTTTCAGTTTAAAGAAACATTTCTAAACATGAAAGCAAAAAATATGAAAATTACTATTTCATTCATAAAAGCATTGTGTAAACCTACCCTTCAAACTTCGTATCCACGCATGCGCGTGCAAGAACGAATGAATTACGACAGAGACTGTATAAAAATATGTCAAACATCCAAAATAAATATTAAATCAAACAAGTAAACCTTATTTACTTTTAAATATACACTTGCATATTTTTTTCTTTTTCAAACTGTTTTAGAAAACGAGCATATACAGATATATATGTCTTATTTAGTGGTATGTAACCAGTGATTTTTCTATTTATATAACAGACTCCGAAAAAAGGCCTCTTCCCAATTGAAATTTTCTTTAAAATCATGCAGTTTTCCCAAAAATACCAACTTAAACCAGCTTTTTTACTTCCCAAATCAGCAATTTAAGAGATAATTTTTCCCAAAATCAAGAGGCTAAGGCCTCTTCCCAATCAAGTGAGAAAAATCACTGGTAACATTGTAAGCGTCTGTATCAGTCTTCGAAATTAACGCCAGTCCGAGGCCCGAGGCCACTAAATTTAGCATTGGTCCGGTGATTATTGCAAGGTTGGTGGTCCGATGGGCCAGTAGATTTTTGGCCATGAAAAAATATTATAAGAAAAATTCATCAAAATAATGAAGCAGGGTTCTATAAAAGATTGATCTTTTTGCCTTTTTTTGCAAATGAAACCCATCAATTCTGTCCTTAATGTTCAAAACACAGCGAGAGATGTCTAAGTTGTATTGAGTATTGGAAGCCGCCATTTTTTCTTTGATATTTTACGTACTGCACCGTATAGTTACGGAAATTAAACCATTGTTTATTATGGTCATTATATAGCTATGATTTTGTGATTATTGAGTTTAGTAAATATTTTGTGTGAAAGTGATTTGTTTGAAGCAAATTGTGTTGTTCATGTTCAATTCTAGACAGTTTTGTCTAAACATTTGGTCCTTATAGATTTTTCAAAGCTGTCAACATATGGCCCAGAATACAAGAAGTATTATGCTTCTTTCAAAGTTATCAAGGGAAGCATGATAAAGTGTTTTCCTTTACCCATCAATTCATTACCTATCTATGCATTTGGTCCGGTTAAAAATCACCAGGTCCAGTAAGATTTGAAATTTTACTGGCCTGAATGTCCTGTGCTTTTAAAAGTTTTTCGTAAAGACTGCTGTATGAATGGAATAAGAAAACGTATTGTCATATAATTGAATATAATAGAACCCTATCAACATGGTGGCATCGGAGGAGTATGCAATTATTTGTTGCACACCTGCAGTGTGAGGTATTTCAGCCACTAATGTGAAATATATCGCCCAAAAGCCATTTTCAGGAAGGGGAAGATTCGTACTCAATATTATTCGATTTGGAAAACGTACTCAATATTATTCGAACTAAGGATTCGTACTCAATATTATTCGAACTTAGCCTTCGTAATGACAATCATGGCAAATACGTTTAGACCCCCAGGACATTTAGATGTTGAAAATGGTAACATATCACATAACTTTTTCAAATCGAAGCGCCAATGGAAA